AATATTGAAATTTGATTTGTATGAAAATGAAAATGAAAACGAAAACAAAGCAGCAGAGCGGATAGGGGTAGCTAAGCAAGTGGCGGTGGGGCATCCATGTGGTTCATCGATCGATCCATTCTCCGGTGAGGAGGCATGTAGCATTGATTTGTAATAAATAAAAAATTACAGGCAAGAAGTAAGAGAGTAAGTTTAGTACGGGTTGCTAGGAGGGAAGAGGCCTGGGAGGAGGAGGAGGTAGGAGCTGGTGGAGATTGGGAGGAAGCTGATTGTGGTTGGAGTGGGGAGGGGCAATGAAAGGGTGTTCCAGCAACCTTGAGGCAGACCATCGGCGAGAGGGATCCCGCTGGAGGCACCTAGAGATGAAATCCCTGAAGTGGAGGGAGGCAGAGGGAGGAGCCTCGGGTGGCTGAGACATACAGATAGCGCACATGAGGCTGGCCCAATCGCCCTGCCTCCCAACCGCGAAGGGAAATCTGCCCATGTAGAACTCCAATATGCTAACCCCAAAGCTCCATATGTCCCCCGCGTAAGCGTCGTATTGGCCGTCGTTTATGTCCGTGTTGATCCTCTCCGGACTCATGTAGGCGATCGTCCCCACCGAAGAATTGCACGGATCCATGGTCTGGTTCAGAATCCGACCCACCCCGAAGTCCGCGATCTTCACCTGCTTCCGCGAGTTTATCAGCAGATTCGAGGGTTTGATGTCCCTGTGCACGATGTGCCGCCGGTGCAGGTACGCCAGCCCCCGAAGAATCTGCCTGGACAGATCTGCCAGCTGCTGCTCGTGCGGGATGTGCTTCCCCTCCAGAGATCCCCCGTCCATGAACTCCAGAAGCACCTGGATTTCGCTGTTCTGATCGTACATCTCGTGACACTTCACCACGTTCGGATCGTCCACGTCCCGCAGGATCTGGATTTCCCGGTGGATCTGCCGCCTCACGGACTCCTCGTGGTGCCCGTATATCACCTTCAGCGCGTACACGCGCCTGCTAGTTCGGTGCACAACCTTGTACACAGTCCCCCCGCTCCCGCTCCCGATGCGGTTCAGTCTCTCCAGCTCTGCGAACGGGATCACCAGCTGTTGCTGCTGCTGCTGCTGGCTGGCTCCTCCGCTGGCCGCGGGCGGAGCCGTGGATGGCGGAAGAGGAAGCGGCACCGCCAAATTAGTGTCACGCTGCGGCAGCGGCAGCGTGAGGTCCTTGCGGCGTCGCTGGGGACGGTGATCCTTGTTGTTGGTAGGCGGCGGAGCGGAGGCGGAGCCAGAGCCAGAGGCAGAAGGCGGTGGGAGTTGCATCGGCCTCATCTCATGTCTCGAATCCAGTGTGAAAAAAAGAATATATACGAATAATTTATGTTTAGATTATAATATTAATAAGAAAAGGAAAGAAAGAGAAGAGCCAAAGGAAGTTCATATAATGTCCATGAGGGAAGTGCAGAGAAGGTTCGAGGAAGTTTGAGAGAGATGAAGAAGAAGATGAAGAAGAAGAAGCAGAAGCGACCCAAACGAAAATCGATTTGATATGATTTGATTTCTTCCCTTTACTTCTTCTGCACCATATCAGAGGGCAAAATTAAAAACAACTTTTTTAACTTATTTTCTAAATTCATAAAAAAGTAAATGGAGAGGTAGCTATCAAAAGAGGGAATCCAGATTTAAAAGGCATGGGGTCCACGCGCCTCCAGGGCCCGTGTGGGGAACGTGGACCAATTACCTTCCTATGTGCCAAGACCATCTCCGTGGTTGGATCACACCGCACTTCCACACTACACTCTCTCAACAAACACACTTTTTCTTTTTTTATTTTTATTTATTTATTTATTATTATTATTATTTACACCAATCCAATCTTCTCCCATTCGCAACACGCAACAGCTACAAATCCACGCTCTGCGCACATCTGTCAACTTCAAATTCCTCTATTCTTTCATTTCTTCCTTTTATTTTTCTCCTCCACTCATTCTCCCTCCAACTTTTTCATCATAAAAACCCATTCTTTATTTATCTTAATCCTCCACTTAATCACACTCTCATTCTTCTAAACTATTCTTAGCTCACCGTACCTTCTTTTTTCTTTTCTAAAGCACATTTCAAACCCATCTTTAATACAAATATACACCTCTTTTACAACATAATTTTACTCAACTTCTTCACTCTCTCTAATTCATCTTCTAAAAGACACTTCAACTGCTTCATTTTGTTGCCCTATTGATGAATGAAGTCACACAGATATAATGATTACCTTTATTTATAGTTTTTAGGTGTACTTTTTACGATAATAATGTTCAAAATAAATAAAAAACAATTTTAAATGTATTCTTAAAATAAAATATATAATTTAAAATACTAAATTTTTTATAGATATTTGTAAAAAAAAATGTCAATGACGATCTTAACATAATAAGTCTACTAAGATGTTAATGTATAGATAACAAGTTTACCGGTGTATTTCAATTTTAGAAAATTAGTGTAAAAAGATATTTTTTTAACAATTTTTTTAGAAACGCTCAAATATTTTACTCATGTGGTAGTTTTTGATTGATCCGTTTCAAATATTTCTTTTAAAATTTAAATAGACTAATAAAATAATGACATATGACATTCTTTTTAAGTGTACCTTTCACTGTGATAATGGTTAAAAGTAAAAAAAGACAATTTTAAACGTATTCTTAAAATAAAATATAATTTAAAATACAAATTTTTTTATAGATATTTGTAGAGTAAAGAATGTCAATGACACATCGATCTTAATATAATAAGTCTATCAAGATGTTAATGTACAAAAAGATAGCAGGTTTGTCGGTATATCTCAATTTTGGAAAATTAGTGTAAGAAAATATTTATTTAATAGTTTTTTTGACAATTTTTTTTATAATAGATTGGGCTCTTAATTAGTTTGTTTTGAATATTTTTTTAAATAAATTTAAATAGATGGATAAAATAGTGATTAAAACTTATTATCAAAAGGAAAATGTTATTTTAATATATTTTTTTTATAACCTTTTTATAACACTTGTGTAATAGTTTATGTAATAATTTGTGATTGATTAATTTTAAATATACAAACCCAATAAAATAGTGACACAAAAAAGTCATTAGTTTATAACAAGGAAATCAAAATATCTGTGGCAAATACTAAAGAAGTCAATCACACCTGGGGCTGAATAATGTAAGTCTACAAAATTAAGATACGGGAAGAGGTTTAAGATATCTTAACCTAAACAAAGATGAAAAAGTTATCTCATACACTGAAGACTCAATATGAATCAGATATCTGTACTACAAACTTGTAATAAGAATTCACATAAATAATAGAACAAATAAAAAAATAAATTAAGAAACTCTAAAACAAATAATCTTACGAATCCTATTCCTAATAAATAATAGTTATATATATATATATATATATATATATATATATATATATATATATATATATATATATATTCGTTATTTATGAAGTATTGTTAATAAAATCATTTATTAAAACCTTTACTAATTATAAAAACTGATTTGGACGTTGACTATTTTTGTAAACTATATCACTTTGTCTCCACTAAAACTGAAAAAAGACACATCAGCACCAAAAAAATAAATAACACCTTCACATCCATGGTGAAATAAACCATTATTTAAATAAAAAAAAAATAGATATGAAAACTACTTGATATATTTATTGGTAAGAGATTTTTTAGAATAGTATCAAAAATAAATCTGTGAAAGTTTGATCTCTGTGTATGATTTTCTAAAATCATAACCACTAACTTTTATATTATGTCTTTTCTGTAATTCGTTTTTAACTCAACTTATCGTTAAAAAGGACTTTATTTATAATTTGTGGAAAAAAAAGTCATTTTTATCCCATCATCGACAAATTTGGACTCTGACTAAGTTTTTAATTCCCTGAACCACGTATGATTATGATAAATTTAAAGTTTAGCAATGTTTTAATTTAATACCTTCTTCTAAATGACAAATTTCTCTTTATTTATAGTCTTACAAGCAATATTGGGCTGTCTTTTTATTAACCTTCCTTTCGAGAATGATTTACATGTACGTTGTTATAAAAATATATTAAATAAACTAAGCATTAATTAAAATGATAATATTTAAAAAATATCAGTGTTCAATAATCATTTTTAAAATAGAAGATTATGCACTCAAATACAATTCACCACTCAAATAGAATATATATATTGCTCTAATTAGGAATCGAAAAAAGCTTAATTATTTTAGAAGAACATTATTAGAAGAACATCTGTATATCAGCTATATAATTATTTTAGAATTAGTTATCGTTTATAAGATGAAAATATTTTTTGTATGTATACATTTAGCGCTAATAAAGTGAACGCATATTAATAACTATTGAATAAATTTATTCAAATATTTTTAATAAGTATACTTTCTAATCAAGAACTCCGTTGGGTGGTGAAAGATATAAATTGTACTTACATTATTTTCTTTTTTGGATTATGGGGAAATTCCTTTATTCGTAAAATAGTCGAAACACCTAAAAAAATATATAAGATATCCTTTATGTAAATTTGTAAGAGAACTGGTACAATTCAAAATTTTCCAAATAGTTTTAAAATCATTAGACAATTCTAGTTTGAATAACTCTTGAAAGCGAAGAAGATGGAAGGAAAAGGGAAAATGTGATTGAAATACTATGCTTTTGTTTCTTTTTGTTGGTTTTGTTTTGGTTTGACGTTGAAATGTATTGTTGTTTATAAGTGAAGTCAGAAATGGGGTTTGAAGCATCGTATGTTATTGTCCTTAAACTCAAGGATGCTTTCATCCCATCTATTCAACGTTCCCACCATAATTACATCTTTATTATTTCAGATTATTTTAATTAATTTCTCCCTTACCCCTTTAATTGCATAGCTTAATGTCACATTAATTGGAATGAGTGAAAGTAATGAGAAAAATATTGAAACAAGTAAGGAAAAATCATAGAATAGAAATGAACAGAAAATTAAAGAATGAAAGAGTGTTATATAAGGATTGATTTACAGGGTTATATAAGGGTTTACTTACAGTGGGAAAAGAAGCAAGAAGACATATCTTTTGGACATTATAGCAGAAACATGGAGCAGTTGGAGTGTGTGGCGTTCTTCGTATTGTGCACCACACTATTTGCTTCCGCTACTGCTTCTCCACACCAAGGTGAATTACCGTTTCTCTCTACCCAGTTAAATTCCGTTGCTTTGCTTTGCTTTGATGCGATGCCATGTCATCAGGGGCGAGTTACCTCAAGATGGTGGTCAACGCCACCGAGTTGCCACCGGAAGACTACTACGACTACATCGTCGTGGGTGGCGGCACTGCGGGGTGCCCACTGGCGGCGACGCTCTCGCAGTCGTTTCGGGTGCTTGTGCTGGAAAGAGGAGGCGTTGGGAGCGGGAACCCCGACCTCATCAACCAAGAAGGGTTCTTGAGCAACCTCTTGAACGCCGAGAATGAGGACTCGCCGGCCCAGGCTTTCATTTCCGAAGAGGGAGTGCCCAACGCCCGCGGGCGGGTTCTTGGCGGCAGCAGCGCCATCAACGCGGGCTTCTACAGCCGAGCCCACCGAGATTTCTTCGTTAAGTCGGGCTTGCCCTGGGACCTGGCGCTGGTGAACCACTCGTACCGGTGGGTGGAGAAGGAAATCGTGTTCAGACCCAACCTCAAGACGTGGCAATCCGCGGTTCGCGATGGGTTGCTGGAAGCAGGGGTCACTCCCTACAACGGTTTCACTCTGGACCACGCCGAGGGGACCAAGATTGGGGGCTCCACCTTCGACGGCTCTGGCACCAGACACACCTCTGCGGATCTTCTCAGGCACGCTCGTTCATCAAACATCAAGGTCGCCGTTCACGCCACCGTAGAGAGGCTGCTTCTGGCGGGCTCCAGCGCTATCGGAGCCCTGTACCGCGACCAGATGGGGGGGCACCACCACGCATTCTTGCGGGAACACGGAGAGGTGATTCTGTCTGCCGGTGCCATTGGAAGCCCTCAGCTTCTTCTTCTTAGCGGGATCGGTCCCAGGCCCTATCTCTCTTCATGGGGGATCCCTGTGGCACATCACCTCCCCTACGTGGGTCACTTCCTCTACGATAATCCCAGGAACGGAATCACCATTCTCCCTTCCCTTCCACTCGATCATTCTCTCATCCAAGTCGTCGGGATCACCGACTCCGGCGCTTACATCGAGGCCGCATCCAACGTCATCCCTTTCACCTCCCCTCGCCACACCACCTTCGTCCGCTCCCCCCTCTACCTCACCGTGGCCACCATCATTTCCAAGATTTCCGGCCCTCTCTCCGCCGGCTTTCTGAGACTCGCTTCCACCAACGTCGACGCAAATCCCCGAGTGAGGTTCAATTACTTCCACAACCCCGTCGACCTCGAGCGCTGCGTCAACGGGACCAGAAAGATAGCCCAAATCCTAGGGAGCAGGGCCTTGAAGGACTTCAAATTCTCCAACTGGTTGGGAGAGCCAGACTTCAGGTTCATAGGCCCCGCATTGCCGCTTCACCAAACGGACTATCCTCGCATGGCCGATTTCTGCCGCCGGACTGTGAGCACCATCTGGCACTACCACGGTGGTTGCGTGGTTAGCAGGGTGGTTGATCCCAATCTGAAGGTCATCGGAATGGATTCCCTTCGTATTGTTGACGGATCCGTCTTTAGCGTATCGCCTGGAACCAATCCTCAGGCCACCCTCATGATGCTCGGACGGTATATATGCCTCGTCTTTCTCTCTCTCTCTCTCACTGTTTCACTGTTTCATTATTTCCATATCCAAAATCATACATTAATCATCATGATCTTATTCTTGCAGGTATTTTGGGTTGAAGATTATCAGAGAAAGGAACGCATCCAAATGATGCTCACAGCCTTTCACTTTCTTCTCCATCGTCAGACTCTCTATTCATTCATTCTTCCTGTACATTTTGAATTACAACGGCTAAGATAAGAAGCAATTTTGACCACCATGTCGTTCGATTTTATACTTTTTTTTAATTACCCAACTCAGCTGTTTGTTTCACGTCCCCACCATGCATCGTGCCACCAATGTAAAGCTAACCATTATGTTAATTCACGTTCCTCCTTTTCTTATTTTCTATCAAATGCATGTCTTACGATGTCAAAATACAAAATTAAAATTACAAAATTATTAAATAGCTGATTGAATTATAAATTGTGGACGGAACTTGGGAATCAAAATACAACTTGTTGTTTTGGATTCACATATTAAAAATAGTACAAAAATCTCAGAAAACACAGTATGTAACTGTATAATGCATTGCAATACGAGGACAACTTGAGTGGATTTTCACAATTCAGTCAACTTCTTCGATCTTAGGTCCAGCACCAGCACCAGCAGTGGATGACTTTCCATAGCCAGCACCATTAGGAATGTCATCTGCACCTCCCATTGGCACATCTGCAGCAGTCCCTTGATACATCTTTGAGATAATTGGGTTGCACAGTCCCTCCAAATCCTTTAATCTGTCTTCAAATTCCTCCACCTCAGCCAGTTGGTTCCCGTCAAGCCATTCAATCGTCTCATCAACAGCCTTCTCTATCTTCTGCTTATCAGCAGGGTTCAGTTTTCCTGCAAACTTCTCATCCTTCACAGTATTCCTCATGTTGTAAGCATAGTTCTCCAACGAGTTCTTGGCCTCCACCTTCTTCTTCACATCCTCATCCTCTGCCTTGTATCTCTCAGCCTCCTCCACCATTCTCTCAATATCCTCCTTGCTCAGCCTTCCCTTATCATTGGTGATCGTGATCTTGTTCTTCACCCCTGCAGTCTTGTCCTCAGCCGAAACATTCAAAATCCCATTTGCGTCAATGTCAAAACATACATTGATTTGCGGAACTCCTCTGGGGGCTGGAGGGATGCCAGCGAGTTCAAACTTCCCCAACAGGTTGTTGTCTTTGGTCCTCGCCCTCTCACCTTCATACACCTGTATGAGCACTCCCGCTTGATTATCAGCGTAAGTAGAGAAAATCTGCTCCTTCTTGGTGGGAATCGTCGTGTTCCTCGGAATCAACACTGCCATCACACCCCCGGCAGTTTCAATCCCGAGGCTAAGAGGAGTAACGTCAAGAAGAAGCAAGTCCTGGACCTTCTCGTTCCCTTCGCCGCTCAAAATAGCAGCCTGCACTGTAGCACCGTATGCCACAGCCTCGTCGGGGTTAATGCTCTTGCAAAGCTCTTTTCCGTTGAAGAAATCCTGCAACAGTTGTTGCACTTTGGGAATCCTCGTGGATCCACCAACAAGGACAACGTCGTGGACGTGACTCTTGTCGATCTTGGAGTCCCTCAAACACTTCTCAACAGGTTCCATGCACTTGCGGAACAAGTCCATGTTGAGTTCCTCAAACCTGGCTCTGGTGATGGTGGAATAGAAGTCAATACCTTCGTAGAGAGAGTCAATCTCGATGGTTGTTTGGGAAGTCGATGACAGAGTCCTCTTAGCTCTCTCACACGCAGTCCTTAACCTCCTTAGAGCTCTCGCACTGCTGCTGATATCCTTCTTGTGTTTCCTCTTGAACTCAGCCACAAAGTGGTTCACAAGCCTGTTTGTTGTTCATAAAACAGGGCAAGTCAGACTTCAACTGAATTATCTTTGAAACAAATCAAACCAAACTCTACTGATACAAAGAAAAAAAGTTTGAAAAGAAACAGTAAAGATTAAATCTTAACACAGTTGGGGTTGGTGTAAAGGGTCACGCACCTGTTGTCAAAATCTTCACCTCCCAAATGAGTATCTCCGGCAGTGGCCTTGACTTCGAAAATGCCTTCCTCAATAGTGAGGAGCGACACATCGAATGTTCCTCCACCAAGGTCGAAGATAAGCACATTCTTTTCGCCACTCCTCGAACCCTTCTTGTCTAATCCATAGGCAATGGCAGCAGCGGTTGGCTCGTTGATGATTCTCATCACGTTAAGCCCGGCAATGGTACCGGCGTCTTTCGTCGCTTGCCTCTGAGAGTCGTTGAAGTTGGCAGGGACAGTGATGACGGCGTTCTTCACGCTCTGTCCAAGGTAAGCCTCCGCTATCTCCTTCATCTTCGTCAACACCATCGATGAAATCTCCTCCGCCGCGAATTGTTTCTCTTCGCCTCTGTAGCTCACCACGATCATGGGCTTCTCGGCGGGACCGGGGACAACCTTAAAGGGCCAGTGCTTCATGTCGGCCTGCACCGCAGGGTCCGAAAACCTGCGCCCGATGAGTCGCTTGGCGTCGAACACGGTGTTCTGCGGGTTCATGGCAACCTGGTTCTTGGCAGCATCTCCGATGAGACGCTCCGTCTCGGTGAATGCAACGTAGGATGGTGTGGTTCTGTTGCCCTGGTCATTGGCTATGATCTCAACGCGGTCGTTTTGCCAGACGCCCACGCAACTGTAGGTGGTTCCAAGGTCTATGCCAATGCTCTTTCCTTCTACCTTGGAAGCCATAAGAGTGTCTTGTGCACAGAGTAAAGTGAATGGAAAACGGTTTTGTGAGTGTAGTTGGTGATCGTTTTTCTGAGTGAGTTCGCAAATTGCAATGCAGAGAATAGTTGAGAATGCGAGGTATAAAAGGAACAGAGGAATGCTGAAGAATGTTCCAGACAATGGCAAACGTGGAAGAAACTGTTCCTTCCTTTTCAAGAAACTTCGTCGACTAACCAGACACTTCTGCACAACACAAGACCTAAATATCAGTTTTTTTTTACCATTTCCTCGCTTTTTTATTTATAAAAATTCTAATTACCTTTTAAGAATAATGTAGAATTTATAAATAAATAGACACACCACATACTAGTTTTAAATATTATATAGTTATTATAAAATCTAATGATTTAAAACATTCTGATTAATATCTCTTAAAAAATTTGAGTACACTTGTTTTTTTAATAAATACTAGACTTGTATATAAATAAATTACTTAACTCGCATTTAGTAAGAATATTTATTAAGTTAAGTTATTTATTTTGTGACAAAATAAAGAATCATGTTTTTTAATTACTATAAGAAACATTAATATATATATATTTGTTTTTGAATAATTTTATCTAATTCTTTTTCATAATTTGATTCAAATAGTGTGATTGTAATCAATACTAATACTTTATAATGAAAGAGTTGCTATAATTTAAAATGTCTTTTAAAATAAATTTCACCATGGTTTGTTGTTTTAATGATTTTAATTAAGTTGCAAATTTAATACGTTTCCTTTTCTTTTTATGTTTGCAATTAATTGTTTTACTTTCATTATTTGTAAAAATTGGCAAAAAGGTGAAAAAGTATAAGATCAAGATAAGAAAAAGTAATTTATTCATAAAGAGTATTTATTATACACAAAAGAAACTTACAATTTTATTTTATTTTTTTGAAATATTTTCTTGCTGGCTGCCTAGGTGTCTGGCAGCTTCTCTTAAGTTCTCATTTCTAAACCCAATTTAGAATCCTTACTTTATAACGTTGACACGTGTCACCTTACCCTATTTTATAGTATTTTCTATCACACATTCTTCTTCAATCTATTGAAATAATATAATTTTGCTTTCACTTGGTGACTTTTTCTCTCAGAAACTTCTCTTTCAATGAACTCCAACTCTGACTTAAGAACATTATGAAAAAGGTATATGTGATGACATGGGGAAGTTCTAAACTTATACCCATATCTATGACCTCCCATACAATAATTTATAAAGCTATATATAATTACAAGTTACATATGCATATGCATAGGTTTAAGTGGGATATGGTCAACAAAGAAAAATACTTGTATTTATACTAATTAGTTTGTTCGTTAGATATTCATTCAAGTTCGGAACTGTCAAGGTTTCCATGGAATTGAATTATTAATTCAATTCTTACGAAAAATAAAGTAAAAATAAAAGTTTAATGATAGGTTAGAACAACAATATTATAAACATAATTAAAAAAAACTAAAATACTACGGAGTAATTTGAAATAAAATATAGTTTCATATCCATATATGTTTTTTGTATTATTTTATCGAACTAGATTCAATTAAATTGGTTGGTTGATTAGTTGTTTTGTCCTTGTTTTTTATTGAATATGTTTTGATTTTTTTTAGGAATTTGAAGAAGTTATTTTCACCAACTTATTTTTGTAGGTTTTTTTTGGCATTATTTGTAGTATCAAATTTAGTTTAATGTAAGTCAGATATTTAGATATGAAATATTTTAAATGTTTGATTAATTATTAGATTAATTGAAAGTTTATTTTAAGATTTATTACGTGATTGATTAAATTGTATTTATAGTTTATATTGTATTTTTGATTAATTTTATATTTATTAGATGTTGTGTGTTTAAATAATTTTAAATTTATTAAACTTTTAGTTCAATAAGGTACTTTAGTTTTGATTTTAGATTTAGTATAAATAAAATTTTTAATTGTCTGATAATACAGTTGGTATAACTTGTCCAATCTTGATTTATTTTAAAAATTACATCATTTTAGTAATTTAAAAAACAGTAAAAAAACTGAAAAATAAATATAAGAATGTATAAAAGTTTTTTTTTAATTTATTATTATACTTATTCCCTGGGCAATTTTCCACTTTTTTGCCCACCATTTTACCTTAAACTTCAACTTAAGAAATCAATCCACATAGAATATATTGTCCCAACCTTGGAAATAAAAGGAACAGAGTGGTACTAAAGGCATTGTAATGCGTGTAATTGGTCTCGTATCTTCCATGATTACACTTTAAGCCATGCTTGACAGCTTCAGACTTTTCCACTGTCTCTCAATCGGCATGGACATGGCACCTCACTTTTTCTTATTCTGTCTCCACAAAATGCTTCTCTTCCTAATTCCCACTTCTTCATTTTTGTTGTCGTTAGGAATCATTACCACCGAGAATCTCGAAAAAAGAAAGGTTTTGCTTCAAACATTTAATTAAATTGTTTTTCTTTTAAATAATTTGTCTTCAATAATTTACCCAATAATTAGAAATCCGTCACCCTCACTTTTGCTAGGCTTTGCTTGGACATTGTTCAACAAAATTCCAGAACACCAACTGTTAAGTACAAATAATCACCCTTGCCTTTCCCTAACATGGTGATGAGATTCCTTGCTTTTTTCCTACTCATTTCAGGCATTCATGCCATATCAATTTCAGAGTTCAACATGGAATTCAGTTCAGAAGGTAAAGGCCTAATCCAGAGCAATGGACAAGCACAACAACTTGGTACGTCGCTTCTTTCGCCTATCAAGCTAAAGCTTTTCTTAAGCTAATGTTATATGCTGATTCACAGGGAAATTGTTATATGGAAGCATGGAAGAGGCAACAAATCTTAAAGACAAAGCTGATGAAATTGAAAATGGGTACAAAGAAGAAGTGCTCAGTACTACAAGAACATCACACGGTGGAAGTTCAGGTGGCGGAGGAAAGAAAGGGAAGACAGGAACTGCGGGCAGTTCAGATGTTAATCGCCGGCCACGTCAGAATTCTGCGCCCTCAAAGCCTCGTTTTTGGATCTCAACTTTTAATCTATGCGTAAGCTTTGCTTTAGTCACATTATTTCCTTTCCACTGGTTCTGATGTAATCCACGCAGAAAAGAATGGCTACTACCACACGGTTGCGGTTTTTTATTGCTTGCTATATGATGCCTACTTTCTTTTTCAATACATATCTTGGTCTTTGTTTGCAGATATGTTTGTGTCGTCCATTTGAATTCTCCTAGGTTGTCATCCATTACATCAATGAATACGAATGTAATATGAATGAATTTGATATTTTAATCTGTCAGATAGTTTAGAAGGGGTAATGGAAACTGTATGGTGATAAAGATTTGACTTGTGTTGGCTTTGTTTACTACTTATAAGTGATAACAGAGAAGCAGAAATGCAGTCTGTTTTACCTTGTTCTGTATTCATTGATGTTAAATAATTCTATGAACGACCTCGTTAAGGAAGAAATTCCCTCATCGGAGTAGTCAGAACGACCGATATCTTGGTAGAAAACCAGCTTATCAAATTACCTTTGAAATTTCCTCCGATTAGAATGCTATGTATAGGTTACATCATAAAATGGACCCGACAGAAACCTCTCATTTAACATATTTAAAAACAGAGACGTGAGAGAATTCTCAAACAAGTCTTAAGTGTAACGTTAAATTAATGGTTGCTAAAGTTCATGTATTCTTACAAAATAAAACATTTATAATAAGAGAAATGTAGTGTAATGATAACTCAAGTGGAAGTGGATGCCACTAACAGTTGCATACCGACAAACATCGTGGCGTTCCTCAAATGTCATACAAGTATTCCTTAAACAGCTTCATATGGTCGGGCTGAAGAGATATTGCGACAGATAAGCTACCATCATTGGTGGAGTTTGGGATTATGAAAGATAAACCCTCGAATGCAATTCCACCAGGACCCATGAATATGGGCCTTCCCCAACCAAAGTCAGCATCATGGATTGGAAGCCTGGTCCAGCTGGTGATGCCAAGATTTGGACATTTGAAAGTGTGTGCACCACGAACCAGAGCTTTGAGATCAGGTTGCAGCTCTAGATAGTCAAGAGCGGATCTCAAATATTCGTTGTCCATTCGTAGCAATGCGTTGTGGATTCTGCTTGCAGCATACCATGTTGGTTTTGAGACGAGATCACCTGCCACAGCCATGGGTGTGGTTGTGAATATGACATTGCCAAAGTAACCTGGTGGAGGAGAAGGTTGAAGCCTTGATCTTCCGTCAGTTGCAATGTACAATTTGGTCTCTTGATCTTCAGGAAGTGCTCTTGCTTTGCAGACACTTCTCCAAACGTGTCCAGCCAACATCTCATAAGAGCTGTAGTTGATTGTGTTGCCATCTTCTTTGGACTTGGCTTTAAGGGTGGAGAGCTGGTCTCGTGTGAGTTTGAAAATAGAGACAGCTGCAGTATCAGATTCTGTGGCTGGTTGAGTTTTCATGGCTGGTGGGGGCTTGTATTCAATGTGATCAAAAACTGGTCGAGGTGGATCTCTCGCACGAAGTATTGTTCTATCAATGAATGGTGGAATGGATACATCCAAGCCACGAGCCACATCAGACCATGTATTGATGAAATGAAGACCAGAGGCTCCATCTGCTACATGATGCTGCATACCAACTCCAAGTGATGCCCCTCCACATTTGAAGTGTGTTACCTAATACAAATAAATAACATTAATAAAAAAAATTGTCAATTTTTAAATTATTATAACCACAATAATTTTATTATTTTTATTATAAAAGTAATAATATACATGTACATGTATTCTCAGTAGTCTCTAAATTCCATGACTTATATGTGGTCAATATAAGTCCTCGTTTGGTAAGTTAACTTTTGACTTAAATTTGGCAAATAGCTAATCAAAGTATGCAAGAAAAACCAAACAACCAAAAGTAGCACCTAACATAGGAAAAAAAGAGAAGTACAGTAAGAGAAGAAACAAAACGCAAAACGCACCTGTAACACCAAGAGGGGATAGGTTTCGATCCCTTGCGAATAATCCACGGCGGGGATGAGCTGCCGGAGCTCAAGGGTCGGTGCAAAGTCCCCGAAGTCGTCGATGACGGCGCCGGTGTCGGCCTCCACGAAGAGAACCCCCTGACCGTCGCAGTCAATCTCCACGCGACCGTCTTCGTCTCGCCGGAGCCTCCCAGCCATTGGGTAGAAGGGCACCAGCACCTTGCTCAGTGCCTCCTTCAGAACCTTCCCCTCGAAAAAGTTGGACACGCCGTTCGCTCTGTAGAAGTAGACGCTGGGCGTGTGGAAATTCGGCACCACCAGGTCCACGTTCGAGTTCCACACCACCCGCCGCTCCCCCTCTTCCGCCGGCCGCACCATCGTCGATTCCTTCACGTTGATGATCATCTCTCTTATCCAAAATGCTCTCACTATCAATCATAAAATCATTAACGATAATTTTACGTAAATTCTCAATATAATACTCAACTCTAGTTATCAATTGCTATCATTCTTACACTGCGGCCAACTTTTGAATTTAGCATTCTTAAATATTTACACTTTTTCTTTGCAACAGTACCATACTAAATACAAAAATGCTTACAAAGAGTAGCTAGAATTTTGTTCATGAATAAATTGTAGGTTACGATTAAGTGGCATTTGGTTCAGTGAAGCAGCAGAAACAAGAGAAATAAGCATGGAGGAAGAAATCGAAGAAGACGAAGAAGAAGAAGAAGAAAATGATGATGATGATGAGAGTACCTGATGTTGTGCGATGTTGGTCGCTGGTTTGCGAGAGGAAGGTGTCGTAGTTTTTAAGCAACGCGAAGAGAGGTTGAGTCACTCACCAACCACGCCCACTCGCTCCACCAATACTAACGCGCCACCTCACCCACACCACCATGCTACTTTCGCATCAGAAGTTGGTGAGACGGAGACCTCCCTTTTCAATTTTTTTTTTAAATTAAATTCCTTTATTGTAAAAATAAATAAAATACATAAAAAGTGATTGAGTTGAGTTGAGTTGAGAATGGTGTGGTATGGAGTGAGTCACCAACTCCTAACGATAGAGAGAAGAAGAGTGGTGTGGTGGGTCCGTGTCGCCTCGACACTCAAATCAGTGCCGTGTTCCATCCTTTCTGACGTCAGCGAGTCGCCACCTCTCACGCGTCTCCACGCTCCGTTCTAACATCATTTTAATTATTTAATTAATAATAATCAAAACCAAATCCAAAACTGAGATTCGATTTGTAATTATCTTAACTGGTTTAATCATTTAAAATATCTATTTTTGTAGAGTTTTTTCAATTAGGTTCTTGTATTGTAAAAGCTCTCAATTAAGTCCTGAATGTGAAAAATTGAATCAATTAAGGGCTTGCCGTTAATTTGGATGGACGGCGTTAAAATTGAGCGTGCGTGGCAGGATGACATTACTGACGTGCGTGCGTGGCAGGATGACATTACTGACGTGGTAGTGTACGGTTTACTGAGTTGGATTTGTTTGATTTGTTTGATTTACAAATTAAATTTTATTGAAATAAATTGATTCAAAACACAACGTTTAAATAAAATACAATTAACAAATGATTAAACCTTTCCTAAATCAGAATCCATTTAGAATCCTAATTTAAAATTTGCAGAGAACCCTAAATTAGTTATCTTTGTATCGCATATGGTTTCTGCCAACATTCTTGGTTTTTATCATAATTAGAATCCTTTTGAAACCCTAAATTTGAGAAATAACACCTTTTTTTTGAACCGTAAGAAAATTCTCAATTTTCAAGGTTTCCTTCTTCTATGTGTGGGAGAATCACATCGAGAAGCTTCTTCTTTTTCCAGGTTCAGCTCGTGCAGATGCAGGCAATGGCAAAACTCTTTCACTCGCAGATCTGGTATCGCGTTCACGCTGCAAAAACCATTTGTACATGCATCTTTCCCCTCACCAGCTTGCCAAATTAATTATGGTGGACAACTATACGTTTCAAATTCAAATTCAACTATACATTTCAAATTCAAATTGTTATTTTCTATCAAACAATTCAAATTAAATATTCTGTTTCCTTTTTTTGACTAATATCTCTTCAAAATCAAGCACGTCAGTCAAATTCAAACCGTCATGCTCTTCAGAGTTCATAAGTGGTGCTCCATGAAATTTCTTTTTCTGGTTGCTTTCTTTCTTCTCCGTTGCTTCCATGGAGGAGCGACTTCCTTTGGTTCTCGCTGGTGGAGATGTGAAAGCTTCTTTCGTTCTTCCTCTCCTTTGGCAGACGTTTCATTTCTGGGATTTCAGTCTTCCAATTTAGGGTTTTATTCAAATCCCTTTTAATTTTCCAAATTCCCCCAAATAATTAAAACGTTCTTCACTCAATTAAAAAATACGTTTTTTTGTAGACAAAACGTTGCGTTTTGATTAAAGTTAATTTTTTTAAATGAATAAATAAAAAAAAAAGCTAACTCAGATAACGAATATGTGCCACATCAACCACACTCAGTCAAGTCACTAAGCCACGAATCAATTTTTTTGACCCCGTCTACTTAATTTAACATCAAGGTTTAATTTGATTCAAATTTTAACAATTAAGGACCTAACAGATAAACTTTAAAATACGAAGACCTGTTTGAGACGATCCTACAAAAGTAGGGATATAAAAATGATTAAACCATCTTAATATTATGATTTAATCTGATATTATTGTAACATTATTTTATTTTTGCGGAAAAACAAAAAGTAAGCTTTCTAGAATATCACGATGTACATGTTTCTGTTTCTGTAGGGTCAATAATTTAAGCAGCCGAGTCCATAAAACGCATGATGATTCTGCGTTACGAGCTATTGTAAGTGTATTATAAGTGTGGTCTTATCTTATTTTTTTTAATGGATTTCATCTTATCTGTATTTTATTTATCTATTATTGATGTGTATTTAATAAGTAGATTTCGATATTATCGTTAAAATATTTCGATTCTTTTTAATGATATTAAAAGAGTATCTTCAATAATAAATATAATAAATTCAGATAATGAATAAAAAATATTAGAGCAATCTCAAAATATTAGGTTAAATAAAAAATAATGATATTAAGTATTATATCTGAAAGATCTTTATATCCGATAAAATTGTTTCGTTTATTTATATTTGAAGATAATGTGAATTTAATTAACACAAACAATAAAACAAAATAAAATTATACCCATATTAAATTAAACGGTAAAAAAATTAATCTTATTGTTAAATGATGTTAATCGAGTATAAGGCCTTCCTATAGTAATTTTGTTTTTTCTTTTAGTCACTAGTTATGCTGGATATTGAATGGTAAAAATTCAAAATAAGTACCAAACAAATGAAAAAGCAAGGTAAAAGAAATTAAATTAACGATTCAAATTAATTATATACCCAAAAAATACTATCGTTATTCCACTCGTATCCACCTACTAGAGTGGTGTAACTTTGATTTTCGTAACAATATAATTTAATTATGTAGAAGTACTCATGGATTGAATTTCTATCTAGATTTAATTCAAATTCTCAAAAGTAGAATGAATATAAAATTAAATTTATTTTAAGTTAACGTAATTATATTAGATTTTTTCAAACTCAATTTAAATTAGATTAAATATAATATACATAATTCTTAAATTATATTTTAATTAAATTGATTTGGGTTTGATTTAGCCATACTGAAGTAACCTAACATGAGTTTGATCATGCCAATTTTGGTGTCAGCTCAGAAGAGGATTTTGTAACTTTAAGGTGAAGAGAGAAAGTTATTGCTATTACAACAACATTGTTTGCTAAGTTTATCCTACTTTTTGTTGTTGTTTGTACTCCAGCATTAAGCCCAAAAAACAACTATAAACTAAACTATTCCTGCTTTTTACACCCCTCGACACATACTATTTTCACCCTCCTTTTTAAGTTAGCCATCATCATTTCACAAAACTAAAACTAATTAAAGAAAACGCTCATATACATACCTTAAACACAAATCATCATTAAAAACTAAACACATGTTAAGTGACTAATAGTTCTTTTTAGAATCTCTTTTTTGTCTAACATAGATATTAATATTTAGATAACATTATCTGTTTTTGAAAACTGAAGTTTCATTATGATTTTTGATTTTAAAAGACATTTCAGAAAATAAAAGGAAAAAATTATTTAAATATTTTAATCTCAACTATTAAATAATGTGATATAACACATCAAACAAATTGATTCTAAAAGTTTATGGTATGGTAGCAACCTTAACTGCATATCATGTAATTAAAATCAAAATTCGTGATTAATTGTTACTTTAATTTATAAAATAAGGAAAAAAACTATAGTAAACAGATATAATATTACATCAGGAAAAGTAGGGTTTTGATGGTATGAAAATGATGGCTACATTCGCGCCACGTGTATGTTAGTTAGCACTCTCTATGCACTTTTCAGAGATCCCATCCTTTTCCTCTTAATATTGTTTATGAGGTTTTTCGATATTTATGGAAAATAATTTAAAAAATGGGTTAAATATGTTTTTAAGTCCCTAAATTATTTGTTCATTCTGGTTTTCGTCCTGTTTCAAAGTAAGGTACAATTTGATCCTTATTTTTTTCGAAACTTTTGTTTTAGTCCTCGAAAGCTAAACATTGTTTAAAAATTTGGTCCTCATTTAGTAACAAATGAGGACTAAAACCAAAATTCTGAAGAGTAAAACGAACGTTTCGAAAAGAATGAGGACCAAATTATACCTTACTTTGAAAGAGGGACGAAAACCAGAAACGACCAATAATTTAGGGACTAAAAACATATTTAACTCTTAAAAAATTAAATCATGTTTCCTTCCATAGCACAACCGAATATTAAAAACGTTTTTTCATTATAAATCGTTATCTATGGTAGGTTTTTTTTATTATAAGTATTTAAAATAATTTCAGATTAATATATCATCTAATTATGGAGCCTATATAACAGATTTTTCAAATATTTACAAAAAGCTTATTATTGAATACATCAAATTTAATCTCAAATTAAGAATATAAATATTCAGACTTTTAATCAGTCATATTATAATTTTATAAATAATATTTATATATTCTAAGTTCTAATAAATTGTATGGTCTTCGTGCCTCCAAATTGATAGTCATTGCAACTTGCATTGGTAATTATTATTGAATACGTCAATTCAATCAATCCGATTACAAACTATAAAAAAATAATACAATCGAGATTTTAATTGGATTATCTGTTGTCTAAATTCTGTAATAGTGCAATTTTAGTCTTTCTATTTTTTTATATTATGGATTTTATTAAATGATTACGGTCAAACATAAAAATATTATAAGATTTAAGTAATTGTAATGCTTTGAACTTTAATCCCACGTTTCTAGCTATATACTAAAATATAAGATTAAAAGATTAAAAGATTAAAAGATTAAAAGATTAAAAGATTAAAAGATCTAATATGAACAAGACTAGTTCCTTAACCTTGAAAGTCTAAGCTACTAAGTACAAAACGTTTATTTTTTAATTAACATATATATCCATTAATGATAAGAACTGCGACATATATAAAAAAAGTCAAAGAAGGCAATACGCTAACATATTAGTTTTTTTAAGGTAACATTTTATATATTAATTATTAATATCTAAGTGAGATATTTAATACATGTGCGAGGGATTTTAAGAATATTTTGGTGTTTTTAATATTTAAAAGATAGGAAAATTTGTTTATCTTCGTCTGAAAAAGATTCCCAATTTGAAAAACCTAAAAAATAATAATAATAATAATAGAAAAGAAGAGTGACGTGAGTGACGTGTCACGAAACGAAAATAAGAGGGTTGAAAGGATATCCACTCGCATATGCCTTGATCGAAGATAAGCTAATATATTTTTAGGTTAAAT